GCGGCCTTGTGCCCCCCCCCGATCCGAGGCCCCCCCCCCCCGATCTGAGGACCAGTCTGGGACGTGGTCCCCCCCCCAGGGTAAACCTGATCTGAGATCTGATCAGGTGTTGACACATCGATGGCTCTGTGGAAGGACTGAAACCTCCAGTTTAAACAGCACGGCCCGTGGGGGTGTAAGTGGGCGGGGCTTGTGTAAGTGGGCGGGGCTTGTGCCTCAGCCCGTGGTCACCACCCGTCACTGCCTCCGATTGTTATCTGGTAAAAGCTTTGAATGTGATTATCTGACCTGAGCTCTGTTGTATAATTAACATGGTAATAGAGCATCTGAAATGTTGTCAGTTAAAGCCTACTAGTTATCTCTGGTTACCAACTGAACTCAGTACTGGTAAAAGACAATAACAAACTCATGAATGTTGTAAAAATAAAAAACGTACAGTACATATATTTGTACAGCGGGTGGCGCCATTTATTATTTAGATGCTGTGAATGAGGAGAAACAACAAGAAAAAAGTCATTAAAGATAAAAACAACATCAGCCAATAATAATAATAATAATGATGATGATGATGATGATGATGATGATGATGATGATCACGTGATCAGAGTTGATCATACTGATCCACAATAAGTCAAGGTCTGTGTCACTGTGTAAAGATGACACAGACTCATTGACCAACACCATCACACATGGCCTTCATCATCATCATCTTCATCATCTTAAATTTAAGTCAACACAAAAGTTCAGAACATTTCTTTTGTTTCCCCATTTAATCCCTTTTTTTCTCTGTCTTTTTGCTGCGTAAACTGATCCTTCAACACCACAGAGTAAATGAGTAAACAAGTGGCCGTCATCCTCATCTTCATCATCATCTTCATCATCTCCTTCATCTCACCCTCATCATCTCCTTCATCTCACCATCATCATCTTCATCATCATCTTCGTCATCTCCTTCATCTCACCATCATCATCTTCATCATCATCTTCATCATTTTCATCATCATCTTCATCATCATGAATCATCTTCATCATCTTCTTCATCTTCATCTTCATCTTCATCATCATCTTCATCATCTCCTTCATCTCACCATCATCATCTTCATCATCATCTTCATCATCATCTTCATCATCTTCATCATCTTCATCATCATCTTTATCATCATCTTCGTCATCTTCATCATCATCTTCATCATTTTCATCATCATCTTCATCTTCATGAATCATCTTCATCATCTTCTTCATCTTCATCTTCATCATCATCTTCATCATCTTCCTCATCCTCAGATAAATGGTCAGCATTAAAAGAGCAGTGTAGAAAGTGTGTGTGTGTGTGTGTGTGTGTGTGTGTGTCAGGCCATCTGTTGCCTGACACACACACACACACACACACATTGTTCAGGTGAGTCTCCCTGACACACACTCTCTCTCTCTTAATGGGGTCAGATATTCATGGTCCCAGAGGACTGTGGTCCCTGGAGACCGCTGACCCCTGCAGTCAGGAGGTCGAATGACACCACAGCAATTGAAAAGAATGGGTTTTAGAGTATAAATATTTATTTCAAATTAAATGAAGTACACAGCATTTAGTACTGCACACCTTTAAGAGGGGGCTGTTACCATGGTAACCACGGCACCAGCTGTTCACCGTTTGTTTGTTCTGGGTGGAGTTTGTAGTATTACTGTAGTACAAATACCTTAGTTTTTAATCCATTTTTAGGAATAAATAAAGTGGCAGCTGAACCTGAGTATTAACAACAAGTATTTGGTAAAACTGCAGTATTTGGTAAAATTGCAGTATTTGGTAAAACTGCAGTATTTGGTAAAACTGCAGTATAAAGTACAACGTCGTGACAGTTCAGCTGTGATTCTGATGACCTGATGGTGGTCGTTCTTCATCTTCCACGTCGACCTCTTCCTCCTCTGACCCTGTGACTGACTCGTGCAGCCAATCAGATGAAACCACGCCCCCTGCTGAGCGTGACTTAAATCCTTTGACCTCTGTCACAGATTAGGAACCGATTAAGGACCCCAGGGTCACAGGAGACACTTCCTGTGAGGAGCGACCCTCTGCTCAGGTGTCTGTCAGCGTTTCCATGGCAACAGTTAGATGTCAGCAGCATAGACAGGAAGTTAGTGTCGAGCCTCCAGGGGGCAGGAAACTGTGGGGGTGATTATGGTGTGTGTATGAGAGAGAGAGAGAGAGAGAGAGTACACACCTGTGTGTGTCCAGGTCTACAGAGCAGCAGTGATGTTTACCTGGTGATAACGGACTGTCGTTCACGTTAACGTGGATGAATGGCGTCTTGATGATGTCACATCCTGTGGGAGGGACGTGTCTCCAAAAACCCAGAGACTGTCGGACTGTGGTGGTCGATTATGATGCTCTTTTTCATCGTCTTCTCACTGTGACACAGTCACACCAAATGTGACGTGACGGTGCCGTGCTCAGTGGCAACTTGGCAGCTGTTGGACTCGAACCTTAAACCTTCTGGACCTGAGAAAGAGCTTCGTTTTTCAATCTACATATTTTCTGATCTCGTTTTTTCTTCTTCTCTGTCTTCAGTTTGTCTTTATTTTTATTTTCTTCTCTCGTCAGTATCTGTTTTTCTCGTCTCTCCTGTCCACAGTTCCTCCTTGTCTCCGCTGACCGTGTCCTCCTGCACATGTAGTCACTGATGTCTCCGTGAACTTCTCCAATCGGTCGCCATGGTAATGTTAACGGAAGTCATATGCATAAAATTAATTATACGGCGCAATAAGGCCCATAAATCAGGTCAGTATCAATTCAGCTGGAAATGTTTCACACGCACCGAGGTGGAGAAGAAGGATCCTGTTCTTCAGCCAATCAGAGGAGTAATCAGTCACAGAGGACGGAGACGTCCGTCCACATGTCCAGGACTCACTGGAGACACAGAGATAGATGCTCCTCCGTGGAGTACAGGCTGAAGACGGAGAGACCTGGTCTTCAGATCAATGCAGTGATTAGTCACAGACGGAGCGTGAACACGACGCCATCAACAGACGGGGGCGACACTGACCACATGGTCTAACGTCAGTCGTCTTTGTCCACGCTGGTCTTTGGTTTCAAGTCCATCATCGAACTTTCACAGATACATCGGCACGCAATGAAGTTTGTCTCCTGCATTTACCTCATCAACCCATGTGGGGCAGTAGAGGTCACTGTGGCACCAAGGTGGGATTTGAACTTCTGATTATGAGGTCGAACCCCTCACCGCTAAGCCATGGTCATCCCCAATACAACA